TCTTAGTTATTCCTAGTCCTTTGTTCTTACATATGAATTTTAGATCAATTTTCATGAAACCTAGTAAGATTGTAGACTACTTTGTGGAAAACTGACTTGTCTATGACACTCTTTTGTCACATATGAAAATATTATATTAATACCTCTCAATTTCTTAAGTTCTTACTTTATGTTCTTCAAAATATTTTGTAACTTTCCTTATAAAATCCTGCCTGTTCTTCAATAGATTTAAACCTAAGTACTTAGCATTTTATTTTATAGTAATGCATAGAAATTTTTCTATTATAATTCAAAATTGTAAAAAATTATAAAGATAGTATTGATTTTTTTTAATGATGCTCTTATAGACACAAAAGTTCCTCAACTCTCATTTCCTCCAGTTGTTAGTTTGCAGAGCCTCTTGAATTTTTGAAGTAGATATTCTTTCTAACTCTCATACCTGTCTCTTTCTTTCTGTTATTTTCTTATTGCTTTGGCCAGGATCTGCAATAAAATTTTGAAAAGAGGTATGGATTTACTTTATTTTTTTAGACGTTCTCAGGAATGTTTCCAAATGTTCTCTTTTTAGTAAAATATTTGATGGACTTTTTTGTTGTTGTTTTACACTCTTTATCAGGTTAAATTTTATTGGTTCAATTTGTTGAGTCTATTTTAATGAATATTTACTGAGTGATAACTACCTACTGATATCTTAAAATTGGTCTTTTATCCTAACCACTTTTCTAAAATAGTTGTCATTATGGCTATTTGATTAAATCAACCATCCTTCCCAGCATTGTAAATATTTTACCTTTAATATTATTTTTGATCATCTTATTGTCTTTGATGTGTATACCTGTTTGTGTACATATGTGAGTTTTATTGGATGCTAGTTCTGTCTTTAAGAATGCCTTCAGTTCTTCCTTCCCCTGGTCCTTCTTTTTCCAGAGCCCTATTAGCTATAGATTTCTCCTCCAAAATCTCTTTTTTTGGCATAGCACTCTTTCTTAGTTGATCTTTAAAGAACATCTTTATTTAAGTGGTTTCAGTTAACATTTGTATATGGGCAAACTTAAGGACTTTGTAGCTACCTCAAGCTAGAATGTAGACAACAAAATAAAAATAGACTTACAGCATAGCTGCTTCTCATTGAAGTTATGGATGTAAAAAGCATTACATTTCAGTTGGCTTTGCTTACACAGTTTGAAGAGCTCCTATGTGTAAAATTTACCTTCACTTTTAAGGAATTCCTCTAAAACTCATCTTCCTCTTATTTGCTTTTTGTTGTAATTGTGACTACTCTAATAGTATTAGTTTATTATTTTCTTTGACAGACAGATCTATGTTCATGGAGTAGTTGCAAGTATCCTAGTATCTCATGGGGGAAATAGGGTATTCTGAGAGCTAAGCCAGCTCTAAATGACCACCTGCCTTGAAATTAGGCAGAAATACTCCAGAAAATTAAAGTCGTATTTTGGCATATGTTACTTTTATATCTAATTCTACTTAATGAGGCTAAAAGATATCTAATTCCTACAGTCATTCTTTTTAAATCAATTATTTCTGGCTTATTATTGTGAACTTTTGTTGTTTTCATAGTCTATAGTCCAATTTCTGTTCAACGTAGGTTTCTGTATGTTTTTGTTTGAAAATTCCAGATTACAATAATCTAGTAAAGTATGATCTGAGGTAGACAATAATTTAAAAATATAGGAGATGTGGACAAGGTTTTATCATGTATTTCTTACTAATATCTGACAGGGGTAGATAGATGCTCATTTTGTATTACAACCTATTTTCCAGGAAACTCTGTGGCCAAGGTCTATAGAAACTTTGGGTGTTTTTAGTAGTCTTTATGACTAAGTTTAATCCAGAAGTAGCTGCTAAAATATCAGAGAGACAAAGAGAAAATCCACTGGACTTTAACTGATATGGCATCGCAGTTAAAAATATGAACTTTAAGTTAAACAGAAGTATGTCTCCTAAAGCAAGTTAAAATACAGATTTATCAGCTGTACACTGGGGTTGGGGAAAAGAAGCTATCTCAACAAGCCCACAGTGAATATCTATGAACTATTCTGTTTAAAAAAAGTCACATTGACAAGAATTGAGAGAGTTGACAGATTATTTGTCTTTGTTAAGAAAATAGTTAAAAAATCTAATCTCTTTAGATCCTCCACCCACAACAGACATTTTATGGTTAAGCTTCATTTAGCAAATTGTATTTATTTATTAGATTATGTCCCCTTCATTCAGGATGTTTACCTCAGCCCAAAATATATTGAGTCGGTATATAAAGAACTCTACTGCAATATGTGTTTCAAAATGTTTCCATCTTATGAAAGATGATTTCTTGATCATTTATTTTAGTTTATAAACAAATAAAATTTCCTCCACCCTCATTCTCATCCTTGCCCTTTTGAAAAACAAAATCTCTAAACTACCAGGTCACATTTTAAATATAAGACCAAGTGTAAAATCACAAAATGTTCAAATATACATGCTATGAAATTATTCTCAAAAACATTTTTTCATGGTTGTTTTTCTTTGTTATTGATGTTTTGTTGACACTAAACGTCAGCTTGTTTAGCCTTGATTACAGTTTCAGACTGAAGTAATTTTTTATTTCTATGTAAGTCTGCTATGCACCTTATTGTTAAAGCAAAGTTAATTAATATCATTTTAATCATTGATGCATACATTAGGTAATACAGGGCAAGTGCTAATTCATGTAGATCATTCCTGAAACCCCAACACCTAGACTCCTCCCTTGCCCCTCTTACAATGTAATTTGAACATATATAATCAACTAAATTTTTCAAATGTCTTTTCGTGTGTGTGTGTGTGTGTGTGTGTGTGTGTGTGTGTGTGTGTGTTTTGAGACAGAGTCTTACTCTATTGCCCAGGCTAGAGTTCCATGGAGTCAGCCTAGCTCACAGCAACCTCAAACTCCTGGGCTCAAGCAATCCTTCTGCCTCAGCCTCCCAAGTAGCTGGAACTACAGGCATGAGCCACCATACCGGGGTTTTATTTTTTTTTTTTAGGTTTTTTTCCAGCTAATTTCTTTCTATTTTTAGTAGAGATGAGGTCTTGCTCTTGCTCAGGCTAGTCTCAAACTCCTGAGCTCAAATGATCCACCCTCCTCAGCCTCCCAGAGTGCTAGGATTACAGGCATGAGCCATCACACCCAGCCTCAAATGTCTTAATGAGTGTATCAAGATACCACATATCTCGCTCTATTAACTGTCAGACTTAGCTTATATTACAGGAAAAAAAATATTTTTAAAGCTTGACAAAATTTCTTTTCAAAGAGTAAACCTAATCTTTAATTTCCTAGCCTAAATTATCTGAAATGGCCATAAACTGATTCTGGATAATGTATTTCAGCATTTAGTAAGCCAAAATATCTATTTTTCAAGATTATTTCTTCTTCCTAAATTAACCAATTAACTGAGAATACAAGCTTCATTTTCCTGTGAATTGAACATAAATACATATGTGTTGTTTATAACAATGCACAACAAGAATAACGATGATAAAGAATTCACATGCAACACCAAGTATTTAAAATAATCATTTTTAAGTAAACCATTTTATTGAAACATACATACAGAAAAGTTTGCAAATTATACATACACTGTTTGTTGAAGTTTTGCAGAGGATCCCACCATCACTAAGATCAATAAATAGAAAATAAAATAGCCATATTTTTAGCAAGTTTTTCCTCTGGTATAAAGAAATGTTTTGTTTGATATTAAATATTTGATATGAATTTTATTTATTTTTCCATTCTGCAAAATACGATAAAAAGGAATTGACATAAGCAATTGTCCACATTAACAAAAACCAAAAGAGTTTTCAGTGACAGAATGTAGTATATAAATGTTTGGGGTATTTAAAAAATAATGCTTTAATTTTATGAGATTTATTCCTTTGAAAATGTCTCATAATAATTCTGTGTGGCGTGGTGGCTATTCTAATCATTGAAGAGCAAATGCACATTGTCTTGATAAAACTTCCACTGATTTTTGTGGGTCTTTAGATGTGTGAATTCACACCTAATGGGCACAATGCACCTTATCTGGGTGATGGGCACATTTATAAGTTTGACTCAAACTGTAAACAAGCAATTTATATAACCAAAACGTTTGTGCCCCCATAATACTCTGAAATAAAATTGAAAAATAAAAGAGATTGCTCTCACAGTTCAAATAATTGTCAGCCTAACAAATCCCTGCTTTGTATTAATAAAACTGGAAAAACTTGGCTGAAACAAAAATAAACTTCCAAATGATCTAACCTACCCCATAGGAGAATTCTTTCTCTTTCTGTACAGATCTGGCATTTAAACATGTCACTTCTAAACACTGTGTCCACCGTACTTTAGTGCAGTGAGCGGTTTCCATGTCACCTGGTCAGAAGGAGGAAGATTAATAGGGAGTTCTAGCTGGAAATTTCTTCTCTGTTATTGTTCTCCCTCAGCAGTTGATGGCTAAGTTAATTCTCTTTAGTTTTGTCCTGCTCTAAAGCACACATTGCCAGGCAATGGTAAGCTTTATGAGCAAAAAAAGCAGCGATGGTGTCGATCAAAGTCTCAAAGTTGCATTTTTAAACTTTGGCTTGACCTGATGTGCCATTCAAAAAAGCTTCAAAAGATGATTTTTTTTCAGGAAAGGTTCAATATGTCCCGAGGCTATCGGTTTTGAGTTAAACTGGGTGAAGTAGAAATATTTTACTCATCAGCTTTGCAGTCACAGAGTTTGCCTCAGCTAGAACAAAACTGCTGAGGCATTTAGAGAAAATTAACCCCCCATCCTGGCGGCCAGATGTGACTGGTTTCTGATGAATGCGCATGAGTGGGCTGAAAAATCAAGAGACTGTGAAATTCCTGTCAGGTTCGTACAGTGCAGAATGGGCTATTGACTGCTTTCTATATTTCCCTCCATCATTCTTCTTGAACACTGCCATTAATTTCCTCTCCTCCTCTGACTTGTGTTTTGTCCCCTCCCTCTTGCCTTTAGCTCTCTGAGCTGCAGAAAAGGATGCGCAAGCTGTGGCCGGAGTACTTCAAACTAGTGGTCCTCTTCAACGAGATGAAGCTGGCCAGCATCCAGAGAGACTCTCAGGAGAGTGTTCAGAAAATATTAGCTGTGCAGGTAGGTGATTGCAGGGAAGTAGGAAAGATCATTCTGATCTAGATTGAAAAGCAAATGATGGGTAGTGTGATGAAGCATTAAAACCACATCCCATCAGAGTTTTATAAATTTTTAACCTCTTTAATAAACTGGAATTGCATGAAGGATGAATTCAGTAAGTTAGCACATATACCATGCATACTTTGGGGGAAAAGGGAGATTGGACTTTTTTCTCACAAGCCTCAGAACAGATTTTTATAAATACATTTGGTATAAATAATATTCTTTCAAATCTTCAGGCTTTGCAGATGCCTTTCAGCTGTTTAAAAGATGTTGACAATAGTGCTGCTTTTGTGCAGAATCTATTTCAGTGAAAATAACCCTCTTATGTTTATTTTAACTATCATTTTCCCCCTTATATTTTCCAAGAGGCTTGTCCTCCTGAGCAGATTTCAAGATGACTTTATTTGAAAAATAAGCAATTTGGGACTAGAAAGTGACAGTAGTTATGGATGCACGTGAGATTTTACTACTTGTTACTATAAAAACATTTAGTGGATCCAGTGTCTTTATTTTAAGACTCATATATTTTAGAAATCAATATTAACTTGTAAAGAATATTACTTAAATATTACTTAAATTTTTTTTCAAATTAATTTTTTATTATTTCAAATGTTACAAAATGTATAAAATGAAAACATACACTTCCAAAGCTATTACTCTATTGCAAATTTCACTTTCACTCTTGTCAATTTTTTGATATTTGTGTATTGCTTGATATTTTTGATATTTTCTCCTGATAGTTTTATGTGTGTGTGTATGCTTTATATAGAGGATGTATTGATAATGGATTAAACAAAAAATATTAAAAATAATAAGACAAAGTTAAATGAAGGTTTTGAAAAGGCAGTGCTTGACACATGTAAATTTAATAGAAATTTATGTACAAACTAATATTGCATTATTTTAGAAGTCAAGAGCATCCTGCTTTCCTTAAGAAGTCTGCTAACAAGTAGAACATTATAGGTTGTTTATCATCTGTGATTCCTTTTTAAATATTCAAAGACGATCTGCATGTTCTAATTAGTGTCTTAGAAAAATCCATATTTCTGCCCAAATGTAAATGTTCTTAAAAATCTTACCAATGATAAATTTATACTGTGAATTATAATGCATTTTCAAATACTAAGAATGTCATTAGAAACTGTTTTGAAGATCAGTAAAATGAATTCCTATCCACAACCTTCAATAATCTTTACCAAACTTGGTTTTAAATTACTTATGCTTATGGCTGTTACATAGCAATGGAAATGAAGAGATAGGAAGGTTATAGGTAGGAAAACTCAACTACTCAATATCTAGAGACATAGCAGCAAGCTTGGATCGTATTTGGAGAACTTGAGAAGCATAAATTAGAGATTTCTTTTCATACCTATTGGTGATGTCTTCAATTTAGAATATTTCAATTTTGGCCTTTAATAAAAATGTGAAAAAGTAATTTTTAGAATCATGTCATAAAATTGTGGAAATGTGCAATCTTCCAAAAAAAAATCAAGTCTAAAACCTTCAGCATGGTACACAACAACCTTCGGGCCCCAGCTCCTGCTAACATTCCCAGCGGCTTCTTTCTCCACATTAGTTCCTTTAGTCTGTTTAAGCCACTCCAAAATTCTTATGAATCATGAAACTTGCTATTTAACTCCTTCTTCCTCTACTGTGTTTTAGCTCTTCCCTGTTTCTGCAATACTCTTTTTTTACTTTGCCTGTTAAAAAAATGCCTAACCCAATCCTAACTCAATCATCAAAAAAATACCTAACTCAATCATCTTCTCTACAAAATATTTCCGAGTCCTTGCCCACACTTTCTCTGCTGGACGAATTAAGTTCTGTCTTCCTTGCCCTCCTATGGTACCCTGCACATACCCCCACACCACAGTCGTATTTTCAGCAGTTAACTGTTGCCATGTCCTCCTTCCTAGAAGATTCTGAGCTCTTTCAGGCATTTATAGCATCAATGAAATCTATTCAATTCTCAGTTGCTTTTTAAGATATATGTCTATCTCGTTTTCACTTATTATATCCAATTTTTAAAGGGAAAACATGGTAGAGTGATTTAATATGTTTATGGAGTGAGACTGCAGGTACCAATGTTTACAATTTGATTCAACATGGCTAAAAATTATTTAACAGACCAGATGCTATTGCTCTCCACTTTCATACGACTTAGTGTCATGATTCCTTTAAGTGTCAATGTTGGGGAGTCTAAATAATGTTTCATGTTTTAAAAGTAGTACCAAAATGCTGCCATAAGATTTTAGTGAACTATTTGATGAGAAAATCATTTGATGAAACTTTTGAAATGTAAACTGTATATAATCGATATTGAGTAGAAGCAATTCAAAATAAATGTTCAACAGAAAAAGGAAACGTTTTCTTACGCTTGAACTTGTAGCGATCCCTTTCAGGGCTACAAAAAGGCATGACTGGCAGGTCTGCAGTCAGCAGAAAACCAGGTGGGCTGGATAAGCTTTTGAACTACATGAACAAGCAGAAACCAATAAGATGGGCTATAACCGAAGTGCAGAATTGGTGTATTTGACTTTGGAGCCATTTATATTAAAAAGATATAGGGATTTTAGTGGGCCACAACTTAATATGAGCCAAAGTAAGCTACTGCAAACTTGGAACCAAAGGCATATCCCAGCTCTCTCTCATAATTATATAAGACTGCTCGACTCTAACAATCCATGGCATATTTTATATGAGGTCCTACCCTCATATCAGAGTCCATATGAAGCACTGTTATTATTTATTTTTTCTTATTATTATATTTTGTTTTTAATTTATTTAATCCTGTCATATTTAATATCTATGTTTTTGGCATCTTATCTGGAAAAAAAGGCTGAACTTTAATGAATCACTCAAATGAAAGAGTGTGATGTAGCTACAGCATGTTAATGTGATCAATAGATTGAGTAAGTAGAAGTAGTTTCATCTGGAAGGAGATGACAAGTCCCGTTGCACTTTTCCTTAAGTTGGGTACATCTGCAATATTTTACACAGGTTTGGAAAGCATAGTTTAAGGGCCATATTGACACACTAACGAACAGCAGTATAAGAAAGACCAAAGAGATAGAAAAATATAGAAAATTTGGAGTGCTTACCCATAAAAGGAAAAGGCTTTGGAAGGACAAACATATGAAGGACTGAAAGTGAAGTCTGGTATATATGTTGTTGAGCTCTAGAAGCCAACAGTGGGACCAAATGATGAAAGACTTTTGAAGGTGGGTCTGGGCTCAAATGGAATAAATCTTCTAACAAGTATTGCTGTCCAAACGTGCACTGCGGGGCTCAGGCAGAAGTTAGACAAACATAGGTCAGGTGCGTAAGAGAAGAAGTTACTGCCATGATTGAGGGAAGCAAATGGGCACCTCTGCAGAGCCGTGCTCCTGGAATGTTCCCACGACCTCCTTGCACAAATATCTGTGCATGTATCTGTGCCTTTCACCCACTAGGATGTGAGCTTTCTCAACTCCAAAAACATGTCTTACTTATTCATCTTTGTCTCCCTGGCACCAATTACAGTTCGTGAAACATAAGTACAAAAATTTTGTTAAGTTATTGAATTGATTTATTAAGATTAAATGCAATAACCCCAAAGGTTCTTTCTGAGTCTAGGTGCCTACTATTCTGTAAGTTAATAAAAGCATTCACTGGGTGCTCTGCCAGGGATTTTAATGGCACAGGAATAATATCTTCAATCATTTTAACCCCCACATGCATAAATACATACAAATATAAATGGATATAGCCTAGTTTTCTATTTCTGGAAGAGAATTGTGCAAATTTAAAAAGTTAGGAAAAAAACACAGGAAAAAAATCTAAAATCGCTTAACAATATGATGTAAAAGAAAATCTCTGAATCTATGTAATTCTTTAAAAACAAAAGAAATGATAGAAAACATGCAGTTTGGACTTTTAAAATATGTATATTTATGGTACATGTATACCCTGGAGCACTACTCAGCCACAAAAACAATGGTGAACTAACACCTCTTGTATCATCCTGGATGGTCATGCCAGAACCCATTCTTTTAAGTGAAGTATCACAAAAATGGAAAAACAAGCACCATGTGTACTCACTATCAAATTGGTACTAATTAACCAACGCTTATGTGCACATATTTAAGTAACAGTCATTGAATATCAGTCAGGAGGGAGGGGGAAGGAAGGGATGAGTATATTCACACCTAATGGGTGCGGTGCCCACTGTCTGGGATGGGCACGCTTGTAGCTCTGACTCGGATAGTGCAAAGGTAATATATGCAACCTCAACATTTGTACCACATAATATTTTGAAATTTAAAAAAATGTATATTTAAAGACATTATGCTTGAAGAATAACATTAAACTGTTAAATATTACTGGTTAACTCTAGATAGTAATGGAAAAGATATTTAAATATAATTGCCAATAATTTAAGAATGTCTACTGTAAGTCTAAAAACTTTAATTTGTCAAATGTAAATCAGTAGAGCCATTATGGGAAACAGTTTGGATATTCCTCAAAAAATTAAAAATAGAACTACCATATGATCCAGCAATCCCCCTACTGGGTATATATCCAAAGAAAATGAAATCAGTATGCCAAAGAGATATCTGCACTCCCATGTTTATCACAGCATCATTCATAATAGCCAAGAGTTGGAATCAATCTAAATGCCTAACAACAGATGAATGGATAAAGAAAATGTGGAATATATACACATTAAGGACATTAAGTGAAATATGCCAGACACAGAAGAACAAATACTGTGTGATCTCTCTTATATGTGGAATCTAAAAAAAAATTGATCCCAAAGAAGTAGAGAGCAGAACAGTGGTTACCAGAGACTGAGGAGGAAATAGGGAAAAGAAGGACAGGGAGGGATTGGTCAACAAGCATGAAATTACAATTAGAAGGAATAAGTTTGGATGTTCTATTGCACAATAGGGTAACTATAATTAACAATGATACATTGT